GTTCCAGTCAGAATCAGATGCAAAAACTTGCAGGGTTCCAGTGGAACAGACGGTTCCTTTTCTTTGAAAAGAGCTCCAGTCTACCAAAGCCTCACCTATGGTATTCTACAGAGAATGTCATTAAGGCATTAAGGCTATTCATTGATGCAGGAACAGAACTTTCTGGAAGCCTCACGTATAGGTAAAGGCTGATTCTGACTTTCACAACTGATCAAAAATGACTTTTTATCCCTTTATTTCAGGTACCTGTATATTTTATCCGTCTATTCATTCTAATTCTTAAAAAGAGGGGTTAAAAAACTAATATTTCTAAGAAAACCTCTGCATCTGCATCACTAAAGTTGATCCAAATTTGTCAGTTCGGTTGAAGCTTTAAAATTTGCATGAAACCTTTGTTACACATAAGAAGACTCTACTATTGGATAGTATAACCCAGAATACTAGACATGTTATATAATTTAGCAAAAGAGAAAAGCAACTTACCAAAAACAAGTGGTTCTTTTGTTCCTGCAATCTACGCCAGGATATTGTCAAGTTTAGTGATATCGAAATGAAAGAAAATTAGAGCCACTTATATAGTTTTTAAAGCACCCTAAAAAAATCTAAGTATTGTACAATGGTGACATTGGTGCTCAAGGGAAACTGCAAATGTGAGTAGCAGCTTCTATGTAAGAAGCCACTACTCTTTTGCAAAGTCTTGGTGAAGTATCTTTCTAGACGGCCCCCTTCTTGTATGGAATTCATAACGTGTGACTGATGGCTTCAACAAACTTTCAGAAACAAGCCTCCTGATGTTCTGCATCTGCTGGCTTTACCCTTCGCCAATCAGAGCTTCACTCTGCCATTGTCCTTCTCCAACACACTTAAAATGATCCAATATTCTGAATAACGGGTCTATGTGATTTTTAAAAGAAAGTGTCTGTTCTGTTTAGTGGCTTTCTTTTAACAGTTGCAAAATAATTTTAGCAGCTTCCTTTTACGCGCAGAATTTTCGAGTGGAACCCGCGATTGGATAATATCTTTATTGTTCTCCGTTCTTTTTAAGAATCACATAAACAATTTTTGCTAAAATCCATTGGTTATGTGACATTTTTGAGGAGCCACTACCCCAGATGATCCTGTATGTTAGCAATATTTTATAGATGTATTCCATAATTATACCGAAAACAGTTCAATTTCAAGAAAAACTGATTACAATTTTTTTTATAAAGACAACTTCATTTCCACAGAATCCACTTTCCGCAAGTATAATATGACACTAATACTTTCCTTAATAGTCGTCCCTAAACAAATGTGACATCTAAACTGGGAGGAAGGAGTAGAACATTTTGATAAATAATTATTATCTGTGAAGTACTGTTTCCATTGAACCTACAACTCATGAAGAAATGAAAAACGGAAAGTCAGGGATGTGTATATATGCTATTTCTAGCAGCGGGTAATACAAGTTAAATTCCAAAACCTATTTTTCAAGACCATTTGATGTATTTGTGGGCTTCCCATTGTCTTTCACATCACAGAGCATGCACTTTCTGATTAGTCGGAATTGCTACCACTGTTTCAATTTATATGACATTTTTTTAATGGGGAGCTTAAGAAAATAAGAGATTGCTGACATATAAGTTAAATATATATTATGTACAAAAAAGCACCCTTATATTCTAGCTGTCTTCAATATACCATGTCAATTTCATGAGTGCATGTTATTTAAACAAAATGAGAATGTTAATAATAAAGAGTTTTCAGATATAAAAGTACCGAAGGGTGTGGTATAACAGTCGTGAAGTGGGTGAAAATCGGGGGAGAGCAGAGTTCAAATCTCAATAGAGACATAAAACATTAGGTAATTTCTTCTCATCGGCCTAATCCTTGGCGGGTAGAGTTGTCTGGTGCTTGTGTTGGGGAGGTAGTAGGTACCTGGTGGAATAGTTGAGTTGTGTGCAAGCTAGCCCAAACACTATTGTTAATTAAAAAAAAAGGAGTTACCAAATATAGAAAGCTGTTAATCTTCTCGGAACTAACAAAAAGAAAGATTGTGATATAAAATGGAATAGAGAGAGTAAATGTTATTAAAACTCATAGAGAAACTTCAAAATTCCTTAACAAAGAGAAAGGCATTGGGAGAATAGTAAATAGAAATTAGAATGTCAAAATGTAAAAACTTGAACTCTATGAAATTCTTGCAACTTTGAAATTCACTGGAGGTGCTAAAATGTTATTCTTCTCATGCACACAATGAAAATGATCAGAAATGTGAGAATCACTCTACTTGTGTATTTGGCTTCAACAGATATGATTTGGTGGATTTAAGCAGACAGTCACTTTCCAAGCTTGCAAACCAGGTCTACTTGGATGCAATATCTGCTTTCCGTCATGAGGATGCTAAAGCATTGAGTCTGCATAGTCAGAAATTCCTTCAACTCATCAAGGACATTGACAGGCTTCTAGCAGCTGATGATAATTTTCTACTTGGAACGTGGTTGGAGAGTGCCAAAAATTTGGCTATGAATTCTGATGAGAATAAGCAGGTCAGAACAGCTTAATGAAGATTATTTTTTTATTATTTTATGAAGAGCGAAATGAAGATTCTTGTAACTTCTGTCAATTTGAGTAACTTGATTTAACAGGAAAAGAAGAACTAGAGTGAAACTTGTTAAGTTGAATAACTTAGTTGGCAGTGTATTAGCATGTTCCTTGCCTTTGTAGAATAATAGAAAAACAGACGATGAAAAGAAACAAGCAAGTGAAAGTAGCTTCTCCTCCATTTGCTGGTCGTAGACTTTGTATGTAATCTAGTTTCATAATTTAGGAATTTATGGTAAACCACCAACTAGACTTTTGGCACCAAATTGTCCCCTCTCTGTGATTCACATCACTAAGCTACAATCTTTTATCGAAAATCTTATTAGTCTCCTTCTATCGGACCGACCCCATGACCCGCCTCATGAGAAAAGCTTGCTCAGACAGAACACTTTCCATTACATTAGTAGGATGTTATTTTTCCAGTTTATGGAAATGGCATGAATAGTAGTAGGAGATTTGCAAAATGCAACATAAGGTAATCCTTCGTCCAGTAAAAATTCTCATTTATTATTTTTCAACTGATCCCGAGTTCCAAACAAACTTTCCATGTCTGATGAGGTTCAGTCTCATGAATCATCGGACAGTAATAATGTAATGAGTTCTTCATGACTGTCTACTGATCCTTCGGTTTTTTATTTTTAGTACGAATGGAACGCAAGGACACAAATAACTATGTGGTTCGACAACACAAAGTACAATCAGAGTCAACTTCATGATTATGGTAAGCTTTTTCCCCATCAGATAGTAATTCGTATTCTTTACTTTTACTTCATATCATAAAAATTGTTAAGAATTTGATATTTTACTTGTCTTCACTCAGCAAACAAGTTTTGGAGTGGCTTATTGGAAGCATACTATCTTCCACGAGCATCAATGTATTTCGAGCTCCTTTCTAAAAGCTTAGAAGAAAAAGTGGACTTCAAGTTGGAGGAATGGAGAAGAGAGTGGATAGCATATTCAAATAATTGGCAAGAAAGTAGAGAGCTTTACCCTGTGAAGGCTCAAGGAGACGCCCTTGCTATTGCTACTGATCTATTTGAGAAATATTTCAGTTGAGATGAGATTATCCATTTCCACAATCAAACATGAACAAAAATGGAAACCCTTCACTTGTATAATTGTCTTATTACCCAACAACTGATATTGCAAAGAGAGCTATAGTTTTCATGGGACACCCCCTCTTTTGCAGTGTTCAGCTCTAGGAAGTTGGTGAGTACTTCCTGTTTCAATCAAAATGTGAACAACTTTCCCTATTACAAATCCATTAACTTTCATTTTCCTATAATCATACAACCTAGTCATTGCATGCATAGATTCTTGAGGGTAAATAAATGAGTTAAAATATCATGGTATAGCCAGTTTTCACACTGGTCAATGAAAAATAGCCAGCGTTTATCAAGTCAATGAAAAATAGCCACTATTTTGCTGCAACAGGGACCGGTCCAGTATAATATACGGGAGTTCTGGTGCATTTGTGTACGAACTCCAGCATATTATGCTGGACCGGTATACTTTGCTAACTCCTGTAAAATTTGCGGGAGACTGGAGCACTAGTGCTCCAAACTCCAGTATATTATACTGGACAATTATACTTGCTGGAACTCCCGTAAAATTTGCGGGAGTTCAAGCATAACTCCCGTAAAATTTGCGGGAGTTCCAGCATAGTTATCCTGGAACTCCCGTAAAATTTATGGGAGTTCAAGCATACTTATGCTGGAACTCCCGTAAAATTTGCGGGCGTATTTTTTCGGATTTTGAACAGTGTTTTCGCTCAGATTTAAAGTGGCTAAATTTCGATGACTTTTGAAACTTGGCTATTTTTCAACGACCAGTGGTAAATCTGGCTATTTTTGAATTTCTCCCTGGCTACACACACAGGAATTCTGTGTAACAGCCCAGCTCACTACTGATATTGTCCGCTTTGGGCCACGATTTTAAAATGCGTCACTAGGATCTAAGCCTTGTTTACTTATATTCTCATCATCTCTCCCGTGTTTTGTTCGCCTGGGGTGTTACATTATGCTCCAATTTTTCTACTAAAGTACCTTCAGGAATTTCATCCACCTCCATATACGGATGTAGTCCTTGGCTCTCCTGTCTTATAACTCCACTAGAGATAAAACTCTGGGATTCTTTAATTGGCATATAAGGTCTGTAGTTGTAGGTAATAATGGTGATAATGATCTAAAGTGATAATGACTTTCTACAAGGTTCTAACATCTTTACAGGAAGGTCAATTTCTGATTTCAATCCTCTCTAAAAACAACTGAAAGACAATTCTAGATGAGTTTAATCGTTCGTCAAATACATCCACATAATTTTTGCATTAACGGTAGTTTGTTCAGAAACAATATTGTCACCATCATTTATCCAAGGCGTTTAATCCAATCCGAGGCAATATCAGCTAATACCCAAAATCCACAGAAGATAAAAAGTCCAGAATAAAAAATCAATCAAATAAGGTTTATACAGGTGGATAACAAACAGAGGAACGACCAGGAATACACACTTGAAAGACTAATAGAGATCCATCTCTGAAGAAGAAAAAATAACTATAAGATTTCACTATAAACTCTATCTTTTTCTTTTTCCTCCAAGTTGGGAATGAGCAGTTGGAATAGTAACTCTATTGTACATGATGTTGTCTTCTAAAATTTCAGTATCAAACTAACATGAGATCCTAAACCAGTTCCATCAGCAAAGGATCACCAGCTGCCATGAGTCTTATTAACTTTATAAAATCAGATTCAGTGGAAACAACCAATGGGTGCACAGCTGGTACTTGAGCTGAATACAGTTTTAACAAATTGGTAGATGCCGCTCCTGTCTTATAAACCATTTTATTCAGCAAGGTGTCAAAGTTCTGAGGTAAATCCATGGCCATGAAGAACATGGGAACAGCAATTTTGTGGTGTATATCCAGATCACCAACCAGGTCTACAAGATCAACGAAGTCCTGAACGAAACGTTGAGGAACATAGAACACCTCAGAGCCGCACAAGGCGATGGTCTGATCAGTTGGGCCATTCTCCTTGTAATTGACTTGTAGGTGAACTGGCATTGTGCTTACTACTTTCTTCACCATATCTGCTTGCTTGACAAACCATGAGGAGTCCTTTCCGTTGATCATGTTTCGAGATGTAGGCACCTGATTCAATTGACTGAGAGATGAATATTTGTTTTTAGGATAATTAATTTTCATGATGCAAAGGTCATATATGTTACCTTATTGGCGATCCACAACTTAGATTTGTCAGCTTGCAAAAGGTTCCAGTAGTTCAAAATTGTATTGTCCTGTAGGAAGAGAAATCCTTCTGTGCTATTAAATCTTTCGAATATTCTTGGAAGATACCTGAGAATGGATTTGAGTGTCAGCAACAAATGTACAAACCAGCTCCATTCACATGGAACCAATCAACCTTTACAAAAGTAACAAACAAATTCAAAGTACTAATTGTATTAAACACGTCTTATTATGAATTACAGAATATGGGCATATAATAGAATGAAATGCGCAAATCAACATGAACCATTCACTCCCAGAAAAGGAATGTGTTGATACTAGAATATTTTGCAGAAGGACCAGTTTCATACAAAGGTGTCACTAGATTACCATAAATAGGACTTCAACATATTCTTCACTAAGGAATACTACCTATAACTGTTAGCCAGCTCATACAACCCCTGGGCTCCCAACCCAGCCTTTTTTAATAAATGCGCAAACCTTTGTAATCTCCTACCCTCAGCACATTGCTCCTCAAAATTCAATATAAAAACAATCTACATACGAATACAAGCCTCAGGGAAGAAAGATATAGTTATAGACCAGAGGCAACCAATAATGTTACATGGAAATTCAGCCTTAGAGGCCCATTTCCACAAGATGAGTGTTGTAAAAATACAGATGTTAGGTTTTGGTAGTATGGTATACAAAATTGGACAAGATTAGAAATGATCACACTAAACAAATGATACAAGTAGCACATTTAAGGGATAAAATGACAAGGAAAACCGAAGATTGTTTGGTAATATCGTACATTTCCCAATACACCAGCCAAAGGTACCATGTTATGACGACTGAAGGTGCAAATGGAGGAAGATTGTCTCAAAAGACCAACAATGTCTTGGAATCAATGCATACCTAGGGAAGAATAAAACCTAATGGAAGCAAAGGATCCATATAAGTGATACCAACTAGGTCGGATAAAAGCTTCTAGTTGTTACACTTACGTTATGTTTGGTATTTATCAGGAGTCTAAAATCTCTTTCTAGACTGATAGACTATATACTAATGTAGGGATCACAAGTGCAAGATCTAGAGAACCTAAAAATGTATGACTAACGGAACCTCTAGTTTTAGATAACCCCTACTATGTCTTAAGAAAATTACCTCGTATAGTGATGAAATGGTTCCAAATAGAGAAAAAAGTGTATAGACGATTCATATACCCGACCAACTTAATGGGTGAGACATAGTTGATAGAATAGTTTGTGTTAGAATAGTCATGTAAATAGGAGTAAATAAATAACCCTAATCCAATATATATTAGGAGTAGGACATGTTATGTGTGTATATATATAGGGCTCATTGTAACATATGTCAATACATCAATAATATATTTTCTCCCGTGCTTTCTCACATGGTATCAGAGCTACGGTGAGAAATTTATCGTTGTGCGTCATTCCAGCGATATCCGGGAAGAAAGAACTCAGTCACCGTGCAATTTTCCGGTGACCTAAGTGACTTATTGCGTCAAAGTCACTAATTAACAGTGTTGTGCAAAATCCAACACCACCACAAGGTTCCCAAGAGAGATCCGACCAAACCCCAGAAAAAATCACCGGAAAACAGTCACCCACGTGCCGTCATGCGCCTGTCGGAGCACTGTTTCCGGCGGCGCGTCTGTCCCACGCGCCGGCGCGTGAGACCCCTTCGTGTCAGATTTCGGCTTCGCTCCTTCAGGACAGTTGGATCGCCCTGCAATTCCGAGCCTGTCCATATTTTTATTTTTAATTCCGACCACTTTGAGTTTTTCCGGCGACTACACTGATTTTTCCGGCAGCTACAGTACTTTTCCGGCAAACACAGTGTTTTCTTCATCTGTTTCAGAGAATTTTCAGTTGATTCTTTTTGTTATTTGGTGATAATCCAACCATGTCTTTGGGAGTCGATGCTTTCGGGTCTAGAAACCCGGGTTCTGGCAGTTCCGGTGTTATGATTACCTCAGAACCTTTAATGGGAGGTTCAAACTACTTAGATTGGGCTTCATCTGTCGAGTTGTGGTGTAAAGGTCAAGGAGTTCAAGATCATTTAACAAAAAAGGCTAGCGAAGGTGATGAAAAGGCCAAAACACAGTGGGAGAAGGTCGATGCTCAGTTATGTAGTATCCTGTGGCGATCTATTGATTCCAAGTTGATGCCCTTGTTCCGTCCATTCCAGACATGTTATTTAGTTTGGGAAAAGGCTCGTAATCTATACACTAATGACATATCTCGTTTCTATGATGTAATATCGCGAATGACAAGCTTGAAGAAACAGGAATTAGATATGTCTACTTACTTGGGACAAGTTCAGGCAGTCATGGAAGAATTTGAGACGTTGATGCCAGTTTCTGCTAGTATTGAAAAACAACAAGAGCAACGACAGAAGATGTTTCTAGTTCTTACACTCGCTGGACTCCCTAATGACCTTGATTCAGTACGTGACCAGATTTTGGCTAGTCCAACCGTCCCCACAGTTGATGAATTATTCTCTCGATTACTTCGCCTTGCTGCAGCACCTAGTCACCCAGTGAGCTCATCACAGACACTTGACTCATCTGTCCTCGTATCCCAATCAGTGGACAATCGGGCATCTCATACTATGGAGAATAGACGAGGAGGAGGTCGTTTTGGAAGATCTAGACCCAAGTGCTCCTATTGTCATAAACTTGGACACACTCGTGATGTATGCTATTCTTTACATGGCCGCCCAACCAAAAATGCTTATGTTGCTCAGACTGAGACTACAGGTAACCAGGGATTTTCTTTATCTGAAGGGGAGTATAATGAGTTCCTTCAGTATCGAGCAAGTAAGCAGACATCTCCACAAGTAGCTTCTGTTGCTCAGACTAATACTTCTGTTGCTGGTAATTCTTTTGCTTGTGTTTCCCAGTCTAGTCCTCCTGGACAATGGGTTGTGGACTCAGCCGCTTCTGATCATATCTCTGGTAATAAATCACTTTTGTCAAATATTGCGTATTCACAGTCTCTTCCCACTGTTACTTTAGCCAATGGGTCTCAAACCAAAGCAAAAGGAGTTGGACAAGCGAATCCCCTACCCTCTGTCACTCTAGATTCCGTTCTCTATGTCCCTGGCTGTCCTTTTAATCTTGCATCTGTTAGTCGTTTGACTCGTGCCCTCCATTGTGGTATATATTTTATTGATGATTCTTTTATTATGCAGGACCGCAGTACAGGGCAGACGATTGGAACAGGACTTGAATCAGAAGGGCTTTACTACCTTAACTCCCTAAAATCCTCCAAGGCATGTCTAGTTACAGATCCTCCGGACCTAATTCACAGACGTTTAGGACATCCAAGCTTATCCAAGCTTCAGAAGATGGTGCCTGGTTTGTCTAGTTTATCCACATTAGAGTGTGAGTCATGTCAGCTCGGGAAACATACCCGAGCCTCCTATCCTCGTAGTATTGAGAGTCACGCAGAGTCTATTTTTTCTTTAGTTCACTCTGATATATGGGGTCCTAGTAGAGTCAGTTCAACCTTGGGATTTCGTTATTTTGTTAGTTTTATTGATGATCATTCAAGATGTACTTGGATTTTCTTAATGAAAGATCGTTCTGAGTTGTTTTCTATATTCCAGAATTTTTGTGCTGAAATTAAAAATCAATTTGGTGTTTCCATTCGCACTTTTCGCAGTGATAATGCCTTAGAATATTTATCCTCTCAATTTCAGCAGTTTATGACTTCTCAAGGAATTATTCATCAGACCTCTTGTCCTTATACCCCTCAGCAAAATGGGGTTGCAGAGAGAAAGAATAGGCACATCATTGAGACTGCTCGCACACTTCTCATTGAATCTCATGTTCCGCTGCGTTTTTGGGGCGATGCAGTTCTCACAGCTTGTTATTTAGTTAATCGGATGCCTTCCTCTCCCATCCAGAATCAGATACCGTATGCAGTATTGTTTCCCCAATCACCCGTATACTCTGTTCCCCCTCGTGTTTTTGGGAGCACTTGTTTCGTTCATAACCTAGCCCCTGGGAAAGATAAGTTAGCTCCTCGTGCTCTCAAGTGTGTCTTCCTTGGTTATTCTCGTGTTCAGAAGGGATATCGTTGTTACTCACTTGATCTTCGTAGGTACTTTATGTCCTCTGACGTCACATTTTTTGAGTCTAAACCTTTCTTTACCTCTTCTGACCTTTCTGACCCCCTTGATATATCTGAGGTCTTACCTATACCGACCTTTAAGGAGTCTACTATAGCTCCTCCTTCACCTTCCGCCACAGAAGTCTTACCCGAGTCTCCTATAGCTCCTCCTTCACCTTCCGCTATAGAAGTCTTATCCATTCCAACCGTTGAGGAGTCTAGTGTGGCTCCTCCTAGACTCCCTGCCACAGGAACACCACTTTTGACATATCATCGTCGTCCGCGCCCAGCATCGGGTCCAGCTGATTCACGTCCTGCACCTGACCCTGCTAATACTGCGGACTTGTCTCCTCTTAATCAACCGATTGCACTTCGGAAAGGTATACGGGCCACCCTTAATCCTAATCCCCATTATGTCGGTTTGAGTTATCATCGTTTGTCATCACCCTATTATGCTTTTCTATCTTCTTTGTCCTCTGTTTCCATCCCTAAGTCTACAGGTGAAGCATTGTCTCATCCAGGATGGCGACAGGCTATGATTGACGAGATGTCTGCTTTACATACGAGTGGTACTTGGGAGCTCGTCCCTCTTCCTTCAGGTAAATCTACTGTTGGTTGTCGTTGGGTGTATGCAGTCAAGGTTGGTCCGGATGGTAAGGTTGATCGTCTTAAAGCTCGTCTTGTTGCCAAAGGATATACTCAGATATTTGGGCTCGATTACAGTGATACCTTCTCTCCTGTGGCTAAGATAGCATCAGTCCGCCTTTTTCTATCCATGGCTGCTGTTCGCCATTGGCCCCTCTATCAGCTGGACATTAAGAATGCTTTTTTACACGGTGACCTTGAGGATGAAGTTTATATGGAGCAACCACCTGGGTTTGTTGCTCAGGGGGAGTCTCGTGGCCTTGTATGTCGCTTGCGTCGGTCACTTTACGGTCTAAAGCAGTCTCCTCGAGCCTGGTTTGGTAAGTTCAGCACAGTTATTCGAGAATTTGGCATGATTCAGAGTGAAGCTGATCATTCTGTATTCTATCGGCATTCTGCCTCGAGTCTCTGTATTTATCTGGTGGTCTATGTTGACGACATTGTTATTACCGGCAATGACCAGGATGGTATTACTAAATTGAAGCAACATCTCTTTCAAAACTTTCAGACTAAGGATCTGGGCAAACTAAAGTATTTTCTGGGTATTGAGGTCGCTCAGTCTAGCTCACGTGTTGTGATCTCACAACGAAAGTATGCCTTAGATATTCTTGAAGAGACAGGAATGACAGGTTGTAGACCGGTTGACACTCCGATGGATCCGAATTCTAAACTTATGCCAGGACAGGGGGAGCCTCTTAGCGATGCTGCAAGATATAGACGGTTGGTTGGTAAATTAAATTACCTTACAGTGACAAGACCTGACATTTCCTTTTCTGTGAGTGTTGTGAGTCAGTTTATGGATTCTCCGTGTGATAGTCATTGGGATGCAGTTGTTCGCATTCTTCGGTATATAAAATCAGCTCCAGGCAAAGGTTTATTGTTTGAGGGTCGAGGCCATGAGTAGATCGTTGGATACTCAGATGCTGATTGGGCAGGATCACCTTCTGATAGACGTTCTACGTCTGGATATTGTGTCTTGGTAGGAGGAAATTTGGTGTCCTGGAAGAGCAAGAAACAGAATGTGGTTGCTCGGTCTAGTGCAGACGCAGAATATCGAGCGATGGCTATGGCGACATGTGAGCTAATTTGGATCAAACAGTTGCTCAAGGAGTTGAAATTTGGTGAGATTAGTCAGATGGGACTTGTGTGTGATAATCAAGCTGCTCTTCATATTGCGTCAAATCCAGTGTTCCATGAGAGAACTAAACACATTGAGATTGACTGTCACTTTGTTAGAGAAAAGATACTCTCGGGAGATATTGCTACAAAGTTTGTCAAGTCGAATGATCAGCTTGCAGATATTTTCACCAAGTCCCTCACTGGTCCTCGTATTAACTACATATGTAACAAGCTCGGTACATATGATTTATATGCACCAGCTTGAGGGGGAGTGTTAGAATAGTCATGTAAATAGGAGTAAATAAATAACCCTAATCCAATATATATTAGGAGTAGGACATGTTATGTGTGTATATATATAGGGCTCATTGTAACATATGTCAATACATCAATAATATATTTTCTCCCGTGCTTTCTCACAGTTTGAAAGCTGGAGGGAGAAGAAAAATTTCCATTTAACGAAACATGTCAAGTTTACTTGGGTGAACCAAAAGAGAAAGTAGGCCATTTTTTCCTGGAAGGGAGTGTATTTTCAGTGATATCAAAATGCATGTATCGAAGAATTAGCTGGTTATACAAAATATGATGCAAAATGATGGGAAGTAATACTTTGTGTTAATCTTGAGAAGACATGCCATTAGATGGCAATACTAGTTACTACTTAAATTCTGACAGGGTATGACTATGGTCACTGTATAAAGTAAATAATGATTTATTGTTATGAATGTGTAAATAGACGATAATGATGTAGTTAACTTACTTGTATGCTTGATCCAATTGTCCATGCTCAACAGCAAGGTCTGCATCAGCTTGTGTTGACAGTATAACCACAGTTTTGAAGATCCTTCCATATAACAATCTCCATTCTAATGCGGTTTGTTGCACGGGCCCAGTAACAAACATAATTAGCACAACATTGCCAAAATTCTTCCTCCACCTTATCAAGTTCCCAATTTCGTAATTTACTGTACCTGATTCCTCAGCCCCAAGATGTACAGAAGGTAGTTTTCGGGGGACAAATTCCTTTTTATCTCCATGTTTAACAGCTGCCTTTTGCAGATCTAACTGTACTGCCATCAGACTTGGCTGCTGATACCCAACAGCGGCCAAGTCTTGCAACCATGCAGCTGTAAATTTGACATCATTCTCGCTCCAAAACCCTTCTAGTGCCATTGAATGGCTCAATTCTAAGATTTTCTCAAACAGCCTTTGTTTTTCAGATTTCCAAGAAACTAAAAATCTGATTAAGCGACCCACATTTACATGCAAATCTTTTTCGTCTGAAAATGGATATGCTTCAACATTGTCATCCCTGTGTAGAGTAGGAGGATACATCACAACAAAGCTGCCAATCTCCCATAACAACCGTTGTGCCCAATAACCTCTTAAGACATCAGAAGCCATGGTGCTGACTGACACTGGGAGCATCAACGACCAAAACGCATTATAGTGAAACAATGTGTTGAATGAATTGATAGGCACCATTAGACCTTGAGGCAATGCCACTTTCGGGGCATGTTCATCAAATATAATATCAAATGCTTCTGACCCAGTCTTTCTTGTAGAATAAAAAACTGAATCAACATCAGGTAGCCCATTTGATATTCCTTGTTGTATGTATTGCCTTCCTCCCGACACTTCAGTATAGAACTCTTCATGATTTACAAAACCAACACTTTCCAGTGGCAATCCTCTAGGCCAAACTGACCTTTGCCCAAAATGTATATAAGGATTGACAACAGTCTTATTCTCAATCTCAAGACTATACTGCAAAATCCTTTGCTTCTTAGCAGTGGCACCATCCAATTCCAAATCAAAATGCTTCCCAAGATCCCCACCAATCACTTCCCCACGATCATCAGCATCAAATATTCTCTTTGCACCATGTTGGATTGCAAAAAGATACCCGACGCTCTTCCTCACATACGAATCATAAGGAAGGAAATCCACCACTCTAAACCCCAAACTCGCTTGTTGCTCCAGAGAAAGAAAAATTGCACCTTTCAAGCTCCAATCTTTCGGGGTTCTTGAATTGCCTATTGCAAGAACTTGCCAACCCTTTAACCTAACAAGACTTTGGAGTGAACTGGAAGGGTAATCTGATACAGATACAACAATCCATTGCTCTGAGTGGAACGACGAAAACGGAGAAGACTTATCTAAAATTGGTTGTACTGAATCAAGATCAATTTTTGGTAACTCTGGTTTTTTAATCTGGCTTTGGTGGGAATTCTGGAAGCATAGGAGTGAAGAGGGTACACTGGAAGTACGAAAATAAAAAAGGGCTGCCACAGTAAGAGTCAGTAATGAAATAACAGTGAGTTTAACAGAGTTCTCAGATACCCATGTGGAAAAGTCAAGATTTTTAGTCTCAGAATAATGTGCAGCTTTGTGTTTCAAGAAATGGGGTTTTGAAGGTTTAGGAGATGAATGGTCTTGATTAACCATCATTAAATCAAAGAATTAGCTCAATATTACAGAATCTAAACTAATTTCTGAAATGGGTATTTAGCTTTAAAGCTCATTGATGCAACACCCTCTTCTTCAAATCAAATAAGAAGAAAATTTACAAGATTTCAACTTGAACTGATGTAATTGCTATACTTTATATGGATAAAATTAAGATGTATATTCTGATCTGAGACTGTGAGTCTCACCTTTGGCAGTGGAAGGGGTTCTTGCACTTGAATCACAGCTTCACTCAATCAGTCAACAGGGAATTCATACGCAAACACACACTGAGTCTCTCTTTAATCGCCGACAGTTTTGTTTGTTAACATTTCATATTCAGAATCAATGCTATCACGCGCTTGAAAAGGCGCGTGAGATGCACAGCCTTGGTTTGTTTTCTAGCTGTTAGCTCGTATCAATCATTGTGAATTAATACAATATTGTAACATACTATAAACAATATGCCCTCCGATCCGTCCTAATTTTTGTTTCGCATTTAATTTAGACACGATTAATAAAGTAATAATTAAAATTTTATTGTAAAATGAAAATGACTTTAAAAATAGAGACAATTTGTATACTATAAAAGTAGGTCTCCAAATACTTCTTTTATAATTAGAATAAACAAAGTATTTAAGGGGCAAAAAATAATTTCCTTTGAAGTTAGTGAATGTAAATATGGAACAATTTAAATGAAACATGAGAGTCATTTTGGAACAAAAGGTGTTTTTAGTTGGAGTGGTAAATAACAATTTAGTATAGTACTTAAATTATGAACCTTTCACAAATTCTAGAGGTTTAAGTAAATCAAGTTCGAATTCATAATTTGAACACTCTATAGTGGTCTTGATAGGATGAAGAGACTTACAGAAGCTGTTTAAATACTAAACAAATTAATCTCAGCTGCTCTGCGTAATTGAGAAAATCACCTAATTGTAAGACAACTTCTTTTGACGTGACGAGATAAGCGAGTTCTAGGTGGTTTTGGCACTTAAAAGGTTTTTGTGAGAGATTCACTTAATACATGACATCATTTGACGAAAATAGAGTCTATCTCGTAAACCATTTTCAAACCATTTAGTTAAGGAATTTAAAAAAAGAAAATAATTTTCAATAAAAGAACCTCTATTTGAATTTAAGGTGACTATGTTGTATACGGGAAAGATCGGGGTTTGTGAGCACCCCAATTTTCCGGTAAGGCAAACGAAGCAAGAACATAATTACACGGAATCGGGATCGAAGCTAGGAATCTCTTGTACTGAGGCCCGTACGAAGCGCTTACCATCGGGGCCATCGAGACAACCTCCCGAATCTGGTTCGGGCTCCAAGACCTCGGAAGACATAACCAAACGGTTGTACACAACTAACGAAGGGCCGTGATATCCGCGCCCAAACGGATATCACGGCGTGGATCTCGGCCCGTTTCGACAGCGAATCAGTGATTTACGAAAAAGAAGATTTTTACCTTTCTTAGAATTGTACTTGGGTTAAAACTCCCCTACTTTATAAAGGGAAAGTTTATTGTTTAATACACACATTGTAACACGCATACCAAGACAATATACATTTGTTTTCTATGCTTCTAAAAGTTATTTCTACTCATAGTTCTTCATAAGTATTTGGCTCCGAACCGAAGGCAGGCTAATTGCTAAGCTCATAACCGACCCAGACTCAATACTACTACTGATTTGGCTATTTATTCTACCTTTAATTTACTCATCTGACATTATTGAACACTTGTATTCGATTAATCCACATATACTTAAAACCATGTATAAATTCAATTGTTATCCATTTTTAAGGGTAAACAGTTTAGCGTCCACCGTGGGGCTGAGGATAATAGTGGTAGTTGATACAAATTTTCATAACACACTCTATTTTACGCTTGTCCTTTGAGATTTTAATTTCAGATCTACCTAAGAATGTCAAACTCTCAGTCTGCTCACTTGAACGTTGATGCTGAGTCTGGCCATCATGGCGAAAACAACAATATAGTACCTAGCAACGAGGTGCCCCCTACTGATCCCAATGGAGTCCCAGTAGATACCAACTCACATGTGGCTGTGAATACCTAATTTTTGCACGCTTTTAAGTCTCTAACAAAAACTAGCTTTCGGATGGTTTTAGCTATTTTAGTTGTATTTCTTTAAACTTATTTGTGCATTTTTATGTGAATTCCTTAATTAAAAAGTACCAAAAATATTCTTTACTTTTTATTTGTATATTTTAGTTTACATCTTTAAATTATACACCAAAAAGGTTTTCATTCTATTTGTACATCTTTAGGATTGTATTAGATTATAATTTCATTAGAGAGAAAATGGATTGAGTTAAGCTTCAATCAGCCGAATTGGGCTCAAAATGGCGCAAAATCAGCAGCCCAAATCATTTGACCCGGGTCCAATGAATGGCTTGCCAAGAAAAAAAGAGGTTATAAATAACATAAGAAAAAGACAGAATGCTCAGTGAAAGTCTACTATGGCAAGCACAAGAATTGAAATGGCAAATGGAAGCCTATAATTGAAGTTTCGACGTATCTAAGCTCCTATCTTGGACACATCCAAGCTCCTATATTCGGACACATCCAAGCTCCTATCTTCGGACACATCCAAGCTCCTATTTTCGGACACATCCAAACTCCTATCTTCGGATACATCCAAGCTCCTATCTTCGGACGCATCCAAGCTCCTATCTTCGGACACGTCCAATCCCACATCCTTAGATGTATCCAAACTCCTATCTTGGACGTGTCCAAGCTCACATCTTCAGATCTTCTATATATCTTTCACTCAAGAAAAGATAAATCCTTACTCAGTGAAAAAAAAAAACACCACTTGAGAGCAAAACAAAGATCAACTTGACATCTATAGTAAGCTGAAAAAAGAAAGCTGAAACTCCTCATTTTCTTTGGTTTAAAAGCTGTTGGTTGTTGATGCTGGTTTCTGTTACTTCAGTCATTGCTAACACTTTTACTTTCTGTTATCCAGGTAACCTTTTTAACAACTATTGTAGTTTTGGTCAAGAATGAATGGAAATGAAGCAGATTTAAAGTGCTCTTCAGCTTCTTTTGAGCTTTAAATACTCTGTTGTGTAGGACTTTGTATGTAAGCATGTGTAATGAATGTTGAGCTTCTTGTGTCATTGTGGTTGACACCAAGCTTTAAACATTTTGTCTCATAGCCCACTGCCATTTTTTTTTCTTCTATTTATTTTGTGAAAAATCACCAAATGACATTTCTTTTCATGGTTAAGTTATTTCATCTTTATGAAGTATTGATTGAAACTAATGATCGTCATTTTCTTACTAACGTGTTTGATATCCAAAATAATTGAAAGTGGTTTCATGTAAGTCAAGCTGAAAGCAATAGTGATGCATTGGACTGATTTTAAGGTTCTCGTTGGTCTATATATATGTGACTGTGGCATTTTAATTAACTGGGCCATAAATCAATAGCCATGACTTGTTCAATCATAATCTGTCACGAGCAGGGCTTCCTTTGTCACATGAGATGTCTTACACTTTGTATCAAGTTAAAAATATAATTTCAGTAGCCCATGTCGATATAGTCCATGAGTTAATCCAAATCTTTTTAGTGTCATATTTAGTTAAACAAATATAATAATATCATATTCTTTTCTCTTGAATAAGTTAATCTCTTTTAATTAATTTCGGCACAATTTTAGGCATGTTCCAAATTTAGACCATGTGTTCTTAACTAAAGAGTAAAGAGAGAGGGAGGGTTAGAGACAAAGACAGAGATGTAAATGCAAAAGAGTTTAGCTTACGTTGAAGGATATAAGTTGTTTACATTATCACACTAAGTTACATTATACTAATAACATAGGAGTACTGTTTTTATAGTAAATCTAATTTGATGAAATATAAAATAATACTAATTAGATATAAGTAGTTAGATTACATAGATAGTGAAATATTTTTCTACAATCTTAATATACGTTGTACAAGTTAAGTCTAATGTGAAAGAGTTTAAGTGAGGTGCATTGACAACATATAATCTTTGGTCAGCATTTAATTAATAAATATTCATGTGTGCATTCCCGCTCCTTGACTCTCTAATTAATAAATTATGTTTGACCATGTGTTCATATCCGTTCTGTGGTTAAATGCACATAACCAAAAAAAGACCTTGTGTGCTTATACGCTCCTAGGCCAAAGTTAATAAAATTTAATTATTAATTTTTAAGTGACAATAGAAGATCGCTAATCAAGGAAAATAAAACGTACTTTATCCAAAAATTAATTCAAGCCAATTTTAGTCAATAAAGCGACCGTGCTAGAACCATGGGACTCGGGGAATGCCTTACACCTTCTTCCGGTCAACAGAATTCCTTATTCGGACTTTGTTTTCGCAGACCAATAATAAATAGAGTCAACTTTCCTTTGACTAGGGATTCAATAAAAAAAAGGTGACTTGGAACACCCAAAAATTAATTCCAACTGGCGAATAATCCCTACTCAAATTTGTCACTTTAAGTTGGAAAAACTCTTCAATCCACACGAATACATAATTTTTTACGGGTGGGAAAAAGGGGTGTGATAGTGGCCATCGACGACAACCTGCCGACCGACCCTGAGAACAGCGTTCGCGGAGGAACCCGAACAACGACTCGAGGTACGCCCGAAGGCGAAGGCGACGGGATCAATCTGCGGGTGATCTTCGAAATGCTACAGGCTCAACAAGCGGCGATAGCACAACTGCAGAATCAAAGCCGTGCCTCCAGCAGAGTTGAACCTGAACCATCCCGGAAAAACACCCGAAGAAGTGAGCAAGTCACAAAAAAGCCGGGTGAAGGTGAGCTCGGGAGCGGTCCGGAAATAATAAAAATGCTTGAGGAACTGACAAAGCGGGTGGAACGGGGGAGAAGAAAATTAAGGCCAACGATAAAAAAGTGGAGATCTATAACTCCAGAGTCGATCAAATCCCAGGAGCGCCCCCGATATTGAAAGGCCTGGACTCCAAGAAATTTGTCCAAAATCCTTTTCCTCCGAGCACAACACTGAAGCCAATCCCGAAGAAGTTCCTTATGCCCGACATTCCGAAGTATAATGGAACCACAAATCCAAATGAGCATGTGACCTCCTACACGTGTGACATTAAGGGAAACGACTTAGTAGATGACGAGATCGAGTCGGTTTTGCTAAAGAAGTTCGGAGAAACCCTATCAAAAGGAGCTATGATATGGTATCACAACTTACCCCTTAATTCTATTGATTTGTTTTCTATGCTTGCAGATGCCTTTGTAAAAGCGCATGCCAGAGCCATCAAGGTCGAGACCTGAAAATCAGATCTTTTCAAGGTAAAACAATGAGACAACGAAATGCTCAGGGAGTTCGTATCGAGGTTTCAAAT